ATCGTAAATGTTGATTATTCTCAGGATTTCTTGCTGAGCCCTCTTCTGCTTCTACTGCCCTTCCAGATAATCTCATCCATTCCCTGTGACTTTTGTGGCCACTTGGGTTCTAGTATCTTACAAATCCGGAGACCTTTGCCTCGCCCTTTTCCTGATTCCTGGTTCCCATTATGTCTCTCCATTGGGGCGCCAGCCAACACCTCAGACTCCTGTACAAAAATAAATTCCAAATGGATTGTAGATCTCAACATAAAACAAAGCTGTTAGAATATAACATAGGAAAACACTTTCATGATCTGGGGGCAAAGATTTAGCAAAGCACAGAAATGCCCACTGTAAAGGAAGAATTTCGATGAACAAACTATGTTACAACTAAAATTTCTGTTCATCAAAAGATAGCGCTAAGAGAGTGAAAAGGCAGCTGCAGAGTGGGAGAAGATGTTCGCAGAATCTGTATCAAAGGACTTGAATCCAGAATGTATGAAGAACTCCTTGAAGTTTTTTTTTTAAAGGCAGACTGCATATGAGAAAAACGGGCAAAAGACTTGAACATTTTCCTCTAAAGAGGCTGTCCAAAAGATTAATAAATCTATGAAAAGTCTCCCTAATTCATTAGTCATTAGGGAAATGCAGATTACAGCTACAAAGTGGTGCTACGACATACCTACTAAATATGCTAAAATGGAACAGAAAGAATGTGGACCAGTTGAAACTCTCAAACGCTGTTGATGGAAGTTAAAACTGATAGGACCACTTTTGGAAATCTGTTGGGTAGCGTCTACTAAAGCTTAATGTATCTGAAGAATTATATACATAATGTTGCCAAAGGATGTGTACCAGGATACTCATAGCCGTGTTATTCCTATTAGTCAAAACCTGGAAACTACCCAAATGTCCATTAACAATGGGATGGAAAAATTGTAGTAGAGTTATGTAACAGAATGCTGACAGCAATGAGGATTAACAGACTGCAGCCGTGTTCAACAGGTGTGAATCTCACAAGCCTAGTGTTGAACAAAAGCCAGGCACAAGTACAAACATTTCCGTTTCCATTAAGTTCAAAGCCAGGTGCAACTTGTCCATAGTGTTAATAGATCAGTCGCTATTTTGTGGAGTAGAAGCCGGGAGGTGCCATGAAGGGCATATCTGGGGGTCCTAGTAATTTATGCTGCTTGATCTGGATGCTGGTGTACAGGTGTGTTTTTCTTTTTCTTCTGAAAATTCATTGAGTTGGACACTTAGGATTTGTACACTTTCTGATATATGTCTTTCGTTACTGCACATTTAATGAAAAACTGCACTGTGGTATTACTGGTCTGTAAGAAATGTAGATTTAAAAATAAGGCTTCCTTCCGGTGAATCCTTACTTCTTTGGGTATTTTTGGCTTTGGGTAAAGTGATTTTGCCAGAGATTAATTTCAACTAATGAAAGAGGGATGATTTCTGGGTGGCTTTACATTGTTAGGGCATCACTTCCAATTTCAGTTCATCCCTTCGGTTATTAACCTCACGCATCTAGCACGGTGCGGTCCAGTAGACCTTCTAGGAGTAATGGAAATGCTGTCTGTCTGTGTTGTCCATTGTAGTAGCATTTAGCCACATATGGCTACTGAGCACTTGGAATATGGCCAGTGCAACTGAGAAAATGAGTTTTCAACTTGTATTTAAATAGCCACACGGTGACTATCCTGTTGGACAGTGCAAAGCAAACATTTATATTTTACCCCTTTATGGGCATGCTGATTCTTTTTGATGTCTGTTTTCAGACACTCCCGTCTCTTGAATTTAAGTCCATCTGAATGCTGGTGTATAAGCAGTAATGTGGAAACTTGGGAGAATGCTTCCTCAAGGGCTGCTCTTTAATTGATAAGGAAACAACAAAATTTCTCTCTGTATGTTGCATATGGCTAAGTCTATCTTTGGATGCACAGAGAGTATATTTATAGTGCATTGCTTTGGGAAAAGTTCCTGAGAAGTTAGTTACCTTTTTGAATAGGAGTATATTAAATGTGCCATGAATGCTACAGTAAATTTCATGCTGTTCTTTACATATAATATGCTTTAGTACATCAGTGATTTTTTTTTAAATCTGTGTATAGAATAAATGCATACATCTGTTGTTCTCCTGGAAAATTTTGTGTTTGTGCCCAACGCACTGTCATCCCTCTTTCAGACACGGGGCCGTCCTGCCTCGGCAGCATGCTCATGCCCGCTCAGGAGACCGCCTGGGAGGAGCTCGTCCGCACTGGCCAGATGACACCTTTTGGTACCCAGATCCCTCAGAAGCAGGAGAAGAAGCCCAGGAAACTAATGCTCAATGAAGCATCAGGCTTTGAGAAGTATCTGGCAGATCAAGCAAAGCTGTCCTTTGAAAGAAAGAAGCAAGCTCGTAATAAAAGAGCAGCTAGAAAAGCTGCGGCCCCGGTCACTTCTGAACTGAGCTCAACACTCAGTGAAAAACCCAACGAGAGCAGCAAAGTTCTCTCGAAAACAGATAAGCGCTTGAAAAAGCACATCAGGAAACTCCAGAAGAGGGCTCGTCAGCTGCAGGGGCAAGTGGGGCTGCCAAAGGGAAGGAGACCCTTGGGGTCTGACGCGAGGCGGAGGGCAGAGGGCGACTCTGAGGGTGAGGAGTCCGAGTACTTGCCCACCGAGGAGGAGCGCGAGGAGGCCGACCTGTCGGGGGAGGGCACCGACTGTGATCCGGGGCCGGTGCTCAGTCGCGGGAAACGGCAAAAGAAAGTCACAGAGCAGGAGATCGATGATGACTTTTTCCCGAGTTCCGGGGAGGAAGCTGACGCTGCAGGCGGAGGAGGAGGAGGTCGGAAAGTAGTGAGACGCCGAGATGACGGAGATGAAGATTATTATAAGCAGCGGTTAAGGTGAGTCTGCAAGGACAGGACTGCTTGCTTTACCGTCGGTGGTAGGTTTACGAATAGAGAGCTCTGGTCCCCGTTCATCCCCAGGTTGGGGACCCTGCAGCCCTAGCCTGCTGGAACCATCAGAGCCCCTGAGCCCTCGATGGGGCTCACCCCCAATGCTTCTCTTTCTGGGACTTCATTCACATTTGGGGGCAAGTCTAAGAAGAAAAGATGAGGGGCAGGGCTGGAGCAAGAGGCAGGCAGAGGACCAGGGCGTGAGCTGTGTGCCTTTACACAGCGGCTGGGGCCTCGCTGCAGGGTCAGGGGAGGGAGGAGGTTGGCAAATGCAGTGTGTGCTGGGTGAGAGGAATTTTAGGAGACTTTCCTTCAGAAAAGAGCTGAAATAGAAGCTCTCGTGTATGAAAGAATAAGCTTGCTTTCCTAAATCCCTCCTTCCTTGTCTTGAAAAAGGAGTTCTCTACAGAATTATAAACCATATTGTGCTGGAAACAGGCCTGGTAGGCACCACACACCCTTCCTGCTCCCTGTCTTTTTTAATGCTAGAGACTAACTTTGACCTCCTTCCGTGACTTTATCAGTATAGGGTGTGAGATAAAAGGGAGGCGAACATGTTTGTTCATGAAGTCGGCATCGCGTGTGGCCACACGTTTTCTATGAGCCAAGAAAACCAGTCTGTGTAGGTTTCTCCACCGGGACACTTCGGCTTACTAAGAGCGCTGAGAAACTCGGAGGGATGGGAGAATCTGCTTAATGGATAACTTTTAAAATATTTGCTCCAGGATGGCTTTTCCCCAATCCTCGCCAGTTTTTTGTTGTTTCTCAGTGTCAGGAGACCTGGTTTATTATAATTCTTGTAGCTTTCCCCTGGCCTTTGTGAGTAGAGATTGACCTGGCATCTTCTGCTATTTAGAAGTGCTGATGCATTACATCCAGGCTGCTCTGTACATTCCCTGACCTTTTAGAAGCAGATGCAGTGTAGTTCTTTTCACAAATCATTTGAGGGCCTGCATCCTAAATCCGGTTCCCTAGAGCTGTTACACTCAGATTGTAGTGGTACCTTGTCCAGCGAGACCGAGTTGAGGAGTGGCTTAATGTTTGTCATCTCTCATTGCAACTGTGATGTTATTTTGCACATTTAACATCTATAAAGTTGTCCAAGGGATATTGCTCAGTACTCTTGGACAGTAAATGGTGTCAGTCTTTTTCTTAACTACTGTAGAGAATTAATAAAAGTGTTAATCTCCACATATTGATTATAAACGGAACGAATATTCTTCCCATTAAGTTGAGTCAATATTAAACATATTTTACGTATATCAGTATTGCGATCAAGAGCAGTTTATTTTGATTGAATTTTAAATACAGGCTTAGTTTAAATTCCTGAAATAAGTTTTTCTTAATAATGTTAAAATTGTAAAACTGTTATTGCCAAAGCCATGTCATATGCTAGTTTTTTGCTTAAGTTGGAGTAGAGTCTCAAATGAATTTCCAAAATATCAATAAGTCTAATTGCCACCAAAATACAATAGCTCCTAAAATTTTATAGCTGCAGTTATAAGACAGTTGTTAAACTGCAGATATCCACACTGAAGTGTTTATGCTGCGTCTCCTTGGGTACTGCATGGATTGGGGGATGTTAAAAAAAAATAAAATGCTTAGGATTGAGAAGCATATGAAGAATATTTTAAAACTGCCAATCATTCTATATTCTATTTCTTGTTGATCTTTGTAGACAGAGTGAAATTATAATGATATTCCCTTGAGTAAAGAAAAAACACTTCAGGATTTCTTAGCAGTGGTTTGGTGATGGATGAGCAGAAAAAAGCCCCATATATAGTTTACAATATAGAAAATGAGTTTTTCCTTATGGTTAGAATTTAGGAATGTGTACCCAGGCTAGTTACCTTTTGAACTTAAATATATATATTGGGTATAGCTCTGCTAATTGTAATGCTGTTTTGAACTCTTGAAAGTGGAAATGGGCGACTCTTGGACATCTTGTCTGTTTTATTCTCTCAGCTGGAGAGTATGAGGTCTCTCGTTAGCTCTAGGGTAGACCTAACTAGGCATCGTGGTTTTAGCTGATCCTCAGGGGGAATTTCCTATCAAGCCTTTTCTGCAGCCTGACCTTTTCTGGATCTGAGTAATAGCACGTATGATCCTGCGTTCTCTGATTTAGCCCCACACCTCAGAGCAGTCTTGGAAGTTTGAACCATCTTCTACGCTGCCTGTGTATTTTGCCTTTCCCACATTTTTATCCTGCTTCCTTTTCTGTCCTGTTGCGTTTGGAGGCTGTCTCCCCAGTGGTGTTCGCTGATTCTCACACCTCTGATAATGCACCATCATGGATGGACCACTTCTTAGAAGCAAACCATTCTGCTGGTAGGCTGTTCAGGGGAGCTGAGGCCTGTTTGGGTTCCCTGGGATGCAGCACCACAGCGCACTGGTGATGTCTGCTGTGGCACAGGGACCGCAGTGCAGCGCAGCGGCACTTAAGCCAGCTATTTGCCAAACTTGAGACCTAACGCAAACAGAAAAAGGTCGCCAGCTCTTGCCTCTTTCCCCAGCAGGGGTCAGCACTGCTTGGGTCAGACTTGGGGCGTTAGATCAGGTGACATCCCGAAGGAGAGGATGCATTTCCAAATAAGTTGTCTCCTGGTGGCGCGGCGAGGGTCAGTGTTTGTACGTTGACTTAAACCCATACCTTGAAGCTCTTCTTTCTGCTTCCATTTGCCAGCCGTTGCTGTTTAAGTTGCTAACCTAACAGCCTGTATTTCCCTGATGACAAGCGTAGACTAAAGCAAAGGTTCCCAGCCCATGGGCTCATTGTGCAGAATCACCTGGGAGCCCCACCCTCAGAGGTGCTGATTCAAGAAGTCTGCGTGGGGCTCCCAGGCAGTGATGTACGAAGGCTTTCCCAGATGAGTCTGATGCACTGTCAAGTTTGGGAACTACTTGACGTATGTAGGTTGGTTTTATATATTCTTTTCCTTTCTGAGGGTGTAGCCTTTGGCAGATTCAGTTTGTATATCATTTTCTTTAAAATCCTCTTTTATGTATTCTGCACAATGATGTTTACATAGGAGGGGGCCTGGGGAGGAAGCTTGGGGTCAGTTTATTCGGCTCTGTGCTGTGTGTAATGGGTCGTCTTGTTCTTGGCAGGGTGTGTGCTTCAGAATCACCAGGGAGCATCTTCAGGGCTCAGCCTGGGGTGGGAGGAGGTGGGCACTGCACATGTTCTTTGATCGAGCTCCCACTGATTCTGAATTATCATAGGCCCTCACTGTGTTCCCATTTAGGAAACCTTTGAAGAGGTTGGAAAGAATGGTTGGTAAAGGATGTTGGGATTTGGGGATGGAATGCTCATCTGTAGCCCAGAGTTAGCTTGGAACTGGAATCAATCACCACCACCCCATCCCCAGTCAGTGAAACACAGTAGAGTTCAGGAACTGAGTCTGCTCAGATTACCTGGTACTCTGAGTCCCAGCCTGAAACGGATTTGAGGTGGTACCTCCTAGTAGGCAGGGTTTCCACACCCTGCCCCCCATCTTTCACTTCTGATGATTCCTTTGTTTTTCAATAGTGAAATTATGATAATACTAAGATGAAAAAACTACTTACACCTCTTTTTTTGGTTACTTTTCTACAGTTCATTCCAGTCTTTGATCCTGTGTGTATATATCTTTCAGTTGTTACATTTATAGTAGGCTGTACAAACACACTGTCTTGGCCCTTTCAGGTTGATCAGCCTGCCCATGATCTCACTGTTTAAAGGAGTAGAGCTGGGATTTGAAGCCAGGACATGGTTATGTAAATATCACTTTCCTTTCATTTGCGAAATTGGGTGTAATGGGCAATATCTAGATATGGCCACAAGGTGGTGCCAAGAATCAGGACATAGCTGCCTCTACTTTCCTGGATTGGAAACCAAACGCCAACCCGAACCAGCTGGGTGAAGATTTGGGGTGATTGCTAGGGAGTCTGGAAAACCTGACAAGTCCGGTGTGGATGGGGATAGCATTTGCCTCATGGTGTGGCGTAACCTGATCTGTAGTCGTGATGCCTGTTGGTTGTTAATACATTTTGACATTAAAGGTTTTTCTTTTGCCCCATTCTTTTTTTTTTAATATGCTGGTTGTTCTTTTTTCTTTTTTAATTGAAGTGTATTGATTTACAGTGGGCCATTTTTTACTTTATTTAACGTAGAATTAACTTTGACTTAAGAAGGGCTGATGGGCTCCATTCATTGTGTAAATCTTACAGAATATCTTCTAAGCTTCATCATCTGGGAGAAGATTATCCTCATCATCCTCTCCCTTGAGCCCTGTGGCTTCTGTGGCCGAGGGCGGGCTGGACCCCTGTTTGGAGGGTTTGGCTGTATACATGCATAGTTCTAGGAGGGCAAGGCTGTCAGTATTTTCAGGTGCCGAGTGGGGTCAAGCCAAGGAGGATACATGTTGAAAAAAGTCTCTTGAGTTTGGAAATGTGGAGCCTGAGCAAGGGTGGCGTCCGTTGGGGGTGGGAGGATGTTGTGTTAGAACAGAGACCTGATGGTACTGAGTGCCCGCCACTGGGCCATGCTTCCCTTTATACAGGCCTGTTGGTTTAGTCCTCACAACCCCCTCGGAGATGGGAACCCAAGGAAGCTGAAGTAATCTGCCTGAGATGACAGTCAGTGGAGAAGCCTGGAAAAGGGGAGGGGCCTGACGGCGGTTCGGGGCAGGAGGGAGTGTGCTCTGTCAGCTTGGTCTGGTGCAGTGGACGCGCGGAGAGCATCACCTCGGTGACTGGTCTCTCCCATCACCTGATGGGGACCGACCCCACGCTTCTGTGGGTCCCATTCCTTGCTAGAAACGCTGCTAAAGGCCATGCCCCCTGGAACCACTTTCCACTTTACTGTCTTCATGGAACCTCTTTCTCTTCCTTTTGCCAAGAGCGGCTCCCTTTGCACTGAGATTATCCCATGTTAATCCTCCAGTTGGATCTGTGTTTGCACTGGA